GTGTGTGTGTGTGTGTGTGTGTGTGTGTGTGTGTGTGTTTTGCGGGGGTGAAGGAGGGGTAGGGCAGACATCCTTATAACAAATACCACAAGGAGGTGGCTTTCATGAACAGAATCCTATTTTCTCACAGTTTAGGCTACTAACAGTCCAAATTCAGGGTGCCAGCAATCAGGGAAGGTTCTGTCCTTCCATTCCGAGGGGCCGTCCTTGGCTCAGCTTCTCACGTGTCCTCGGCGGTCCTAAGCGACCCTGGAGGACATGGTAGAACTGCCCCTGTGGGTTTCCAAGATCGTAGCTCATCTTTCCCCCACAGAGCAGTGGGCTGCTGGTTTCAAACTGCAGAACCGCTACGCCCTATCTGCATAGTCTATACTCTATTGACCAATCCCTGCTGGGTGTATGAAATAGACCAATCACAGCACAGACGGCAGATTAAAAAGTATCAAACCGCCCAGCCTTCTACCGCCACCCCAGGAAACGTCTATCCACTGGACCAGGGGTGTCAACCTGGCGGCCCGCAGGCCCGCAGGCCACATACGGCTCCTGAGGTAATTTTTTGTGACCCACGATGCTCTGAAATAAAATGTAACAAGGCAATGGTGTGTACGGTATTGCCTCGCTCTCCCCTAAGCATATTTTGTTCATAACAATTTTTTCTATTTTCATTTTCTTTCAGAGCATCGTGGGCCACAAAAAATTACCTCGGGGGCCGCCAGGTTGACACCCCTGCACTGGACAAAAGTCACACACCCTCCAGTAAAAACCAGAGCGTTTCCTGGGGGCTTGGTGGGGAGGGTCTCTCCAGCTCTTTTCTCAAAGAACCGAGGCAAACAGACCACTTAACAGAACTCATTTCACCACAGCTGTGAAACCAGGTGCTTGGAGGGTTTTCACCCACCCCCTAGGCACCTCATAAGAAAGGCCTGGCGAACTATTGTCTGTCTCCCTCAATAACAACAACAAGAATCATCATCAGCCGCCAACCATCCCCCGTTGCTCCATTCCAGCTGTTGGGGTCAAGTCAGCGGCAACTGGCTCCTAGCGTTCCCAGGACGCTGGCGAGGTCCGCAAAAGCCACGAGTCCTAGCTAAACCAACAACCAAACTCGCTACTGTCTAGGTGATGTGGACTGATCGCCACTCTATAGGACAGGGTAGAACAGCCCCTGTGAGTTTCTGAGACTGTAACTCTCTGAGAGAGTAGAAAGCCCCGTCTTTCTCCTGCGCAGCGGCTGGGGGATTTGAACTGCTGGCCTGGCGGTTAGCAGCCCAAGGCGTAACCACTACATCTCCAGGGTTCCTTTCATGGGTCCTGGCAGGTTCCAGGAAATGCCAGGACACACTAGCGCCTAAGCAGTGTGGCAGGCGGGAGCCATGGTGGGCTGTAGAACAGGCCCTCCCCCTGCACCAGGAGGTTAGATGGGGAGGGAGACGGTGACCCCTCCAAAATCCCCCTGAGCACAAGCTAGTGGGAGCCCAGACCAAGGACTGTGGTACTGGAATCGCCGGGAGACGTGGAGAGATGCTATAGGATACAGAGAGTGAGCGCTGGTAGGGTCGGGTGTCGGGGGGCGTCCAGGGCTGGGAAAGGTCTGGTGGATGCTGATTCTTGGGTGACATGGGATTCTCGGGAGTCTGAGACCAGGGACGGTGTATTGCTCCCAGGTTGGCAGTCCCTGCAAGTACGCACAGCGTGTCACGGGTCCCTGAACCCCAAGCCCCACAGGCTGGTGTGAAGAGCAGTGACATCTGCACATGGGGTAAGCCGTCCACGAGAAGAACCCCTGAGCTGGAGAACTGGCAGTAGGCGCGGCTGCCCTTTCTCCTGAGAGAAACTCTCTCCCTGTAAGACTGTAGCCTGCCCGCCCTTTGCCGCCCCAGGAATACGCTCCCTTCCTGGGGCCTCGTGGGGTGTGCGACGCCTCCCCAGGGAGACGTGCGGGCACTTGTTTCCCAACAGAGGCAGCCTGGGTGAAGGGTGGACAATGGTGCTGGCCTCTGTGGCAGAGGTCAGGGAGGAGGAAAGACAGGTTTGGGGAGAGGAATTAGGGAGAGCTCAGGTCAGGCGGATTGGCACAGAGGGGAGGGACTGAGAGTCATCAGAAGGTGGTGCTGGACCTAAGAGGGGCAACTGATGTTCTTTCTCCTGCCCCCTGTGGCTCTCCCACATCACGCCGGGCATGGTCCACACCCAGAAGGCCGCTGTTCCTGATGCGGAGCTGAGGCTCCTTGACCTCGTATGGATCAAACTCCTGGCCCATGTCCCGGGGGGGTGGGGGGGGTGGGGGTGGGGGCAGGACGAGAATCATTGCAGGGACCTCATTCTTCACCACCGCCCCTCAGGACACACCTGACCCCAGGCAGCTCCCTCCCCCTACAGGGCCCTCAGCTCCGTCCCCAAGCTGTGTGACAGCAAGAGCTCTGTGGTGGCCCAGGGGTCACGGAGAGGCCCAAAGAGTCTGGGCGTCCATCGGGTGACCGAAGTCAGGGATTTTCCCCTGGAGGGTGAAACCAACTCCTGGCCTAGCTCAGTGACCCTTCGGGCAGCCCCCACCCCAGGCCTGTGACCCCAGCGTCACCCCCTTTCTCTCCTCGCCTCCCTGACACACTGTAAGGTCCAGCCGTACAACGAAATGGGCTCTGAGGAGCAACTGTGCAGTGAAAGGGCAAACGCCAAGGAGGTCCGCAAAGCGTGCAAGGGCTCACCTCTTCCACAAAGTCAGGCCTGGGAGAGAGAGAGAGAGAGAGAGAGAGAGAGAGAGAGAGAGAGAGATCAGAAGTAGCTCCGAAACACAGACGTGGAGATGTCTCCCCACTGCTTAGCACCTTCGATGACGCCCCACAGACTAAGAGAGAGAGAGAGAGAGAGAGAGAGAGAGAGAGAGAGCTCAAATGTATTCTCCAAGAGACTTTGTCTCGGGACA